ATGATATGTTTCTACTGTTACATTTGCTTCTTTATATTTGTTATTATTTATTTGCTTACACACACATATATACTCACACCCAGAATCAAACTTAGTGTCTTGCATTTGCCAGGCAGGTGCTGCACCATTGAGCTATCTCCCCAGCACATTTGCCTTTAAAAAAAAAAAGTTTGTGACAGGGTCTTGCTATGTAGTTCAAATTGGCCTTGAACTCACAGCAATCCTTTTGCCTCAGCCTCCCAAGTACTGAGATTGCAAGCATGTGCCATCATACCCAGCTTCTTTAAATTTTTAATTTTTATTAATACATTTTCTGTACATTATTATTACATTCATCATGGGGAGTTGGTACATGTACATAACACATCTTCATTCTTTTTATACTTCCTTCCCTTCCTCCTCCATCTTCCATTTCTTGGTCCTCTCATTATCTTATTAATGCCTCTTTAGTTGATTGTGTACAACTCTTTCTGTGGTTCCTAGATGAATGACCTCGATAATGAGGACAGCAAGAAGGATACATTAGTAGATGTTGTATTTAAAAAGGCCCTGAAAGAATTTCGGCAGAATATCTTCAGCTTTTATTCATCTGCGTTGGCGGTAAGTTTGCGTATGTTCAAGGTTTTCTGTAGTTCAGTATGTAAAAAATCTGATAACACTCTAAAAGGTACTACATTGAACTAGAGATATTTCAAGTTCCTCTTTTTGTTTTAGGGTTAAGACAAAAGGTTGAGGACAAGAATGGTGAATGGCCTTAGATTAATAGTGTTCCAAAAATCCTTTGAATAGTTTCCTCTGCTCCCTCATTTTGACCTGCCATGATACTTTTAGCTCTCTTTTGAAAGATATACCTTGTAATTCTATGTTGTGTGAAATGTATTAACATATTTTTCCCCAGTGGAATTAGGGCAGTGTGTTCATTGATTTCTGTATGGCATTTTTTTTTTGTTCCATAATTTTTTTTTAGCATTTTATTTTTTTTACAAAATTTTATTGATAAACAGCAATTCGACAGTTTCAAATCAAATCGGAAGTACAATTTCAACAAATAACATACTGCATATATTCTTCTTAGTGGTTAATTGCTGTACAAGATGCGGACTTGAGATCCTGTTTACAAACACCATTAGAACAAATCATTCTATTCATTAAGAGAATGCAACTATATATCTATCCTGACCACTTTGAATACACAGATA